GTTACCGCCCGGTTATCCTCCCAAACAAGATCCCCAATGCTGCCTTAGAGGTTGTTGGTGCTACCTTGCCAATCGCGGATTTACACACACAACCTTTGTGTAATAGAACCTTCTGTAACAACCACTGTTACACGTAGTGCCAACTATTCCACAATGAACCTCCTTCCGGAAATTCCTAATCCAGACCTGTATTCACTTGGACTTCTCACGGCAAATACTTCCAAATATTCATAGGTAAACGTACCTACTAGGACTTGAACCCGAAACCCACTCGTAGAGGGTTGGGTGCCTAGACCACTAGGCCGCAGAATCCCAACCCCAAGATTCATATTTATCTTTAACTGTGAACAAATAATCTATAAGGAGTTCAGATTTTGATTTATAGATGGATGTCAATGAAATCACTACATTACTAAAGTCTTCATCCAATTAAATTGCTTTGCTAGCTTTACTCCCAGCATTTATGAATTCATTAACTATACTTATACCAATTTTTTTATCTAATAATTGCTTAAACGCATGATCTGTTTTGATAAATTCATCATATTTTTCTCGGATTTTTTTATATTGCCCTAAACTGAATTTCCTTTCTTTAGCTTCTATTTGTTTCAAAAGAAAATCAGCAAATTCTTAGTGGCATTTAAACTCCATGTCAAATTCGTCGGTTATTTGTTCAGGTAAATCTGCGTTGATTGGATCAAATAAGTTCTTGAAATATAAAGTTATATTTTTTTTATTGTCCTTACAAAGAATGACATATTGTGGTATATCGACATCTAAATACGTAAAAATGTAAATTTAAAAAACTGTATATAAATACTCAAAATTTTAAAAATTTTACCAAAATTATCCTCTCCTTCTGTGCTTCTATTTTTATAATGATTAAGTTCAAACAATCACTCTAACAAATATAGGATGTATTAGATCATGCAAGATAATAGAGCAAGAGTAATATATAATACCATCATATTCTCGTTTTAATTCTAATTTACAAAGTATATAAAGAAGTTAATTAATATTACAAACATTCAATTAATCATATATAATACAAATATAGGATGTATTAGATCATGCAAGATAATAGAGCAAGAGTAATATATAATACCATCATATATTCATTTTAATTCTAATTTACAAAGTATATAAAGAAGTTAATTATTATTACAAACATTCAATTAATCATATATAATTATATACCATCATATCTTTGCTTCATTTCGGAATTACTACGCAGTACAGAGTGTTAATATCATAAATTGAAGTAACAGTACTGATATTAAATATTTTAAATAATTTACATACTCCCTTCATTTGTAAAGACCCAACCATCTTCAAACTTTACTTTTTTACTTCCAATAATACCATAAGAAGTTCCTCCATTCTCAAAAACATGAAAAAATTTATTGTCAAGTTTCTTTGTTAATTCGTGAGCAGTTGTTAAAGCACGTTTTTCTTTTGCGGACAAATTCATGTTTGATAGCGATAGGAAAAAAGAATTTACAGACTTTAATTAATATTCAATATTTGAAAACCAAACAATTTAGAAATTAGGCTCAACTTCTCATGTTGAGCTCAACCTTTTTCAGTAACAGTGCAGATCGATATTGGATAAACTAAAAACTTTAATTTATAATGGTGTTTACAATTTACATAAAATTTAAAACATCGATATTATTTTTTTTTCAGTATATGCTAATGTAGAATTGTATTGTAAATGTAACTTTAGGATTAAATCTAATTCTAATTTGTCAAAAAATACGAAAAGAGTCATTTCTTTATTTATTGAAGTATTGTTGTTTCAATTGAATGAATAAAACTTTAATTGGATCAACGATATTTCTAGTTAATGTTAATCAACATTGTGTAATATTTGAAAGAAGATTTCATCTTTATTTTGAATTAATAATAAAAATGATTAAATAATAAAATTACAATAATTCTATCCCAAAAAAATTTTTTTAACTAAAGAAAATTTTGAATTAATATTTATAAAAAAAAAAGATTAAATAAACAAATAAATTACAATTACTATTTCTAGTATTTCTTGTCTTGCAGTAATTAGTTTTGAATTAGTTTTGCCTTAGAAAAATTTTCTAAATCAAAATCCAAGCTTTGAATGTAATATAAAGAAACAAATGATGCGAACTGAACATTGAATAATCCATCCATAGAGGAAAGAAAAAAAAAGTAAACCTTATTTACTTTTGAGTTTAATTTAAAATAAACAATTTTAAATTTAAAAATTGCAGCCCTATAATAAATTAATTAGATAATGAAATATTATAGAAACATTTTTTAAATCAAACGCTTGAATTTATTTTCAACAAAAATTTCATCAACAAAGCTTATCAATGATCTTGAATCTCAAATAATTTTAGAAGTTTAAATTTAAAATTTAGATAATATTGACAAAAACATTATCATTATCATATCAACAAATGTTTCAATTAAAAAATTTGAATCAAAACTAATTCCGACAAATGTTTATTAAAAATTGACTCAAATGCTAATTCCGGTTTAATAAATTTATTTTTAAATTAATTATACAATTCATAAATTTAAATAAATTGAAATTTTCTTATTTTAATACAAAAAATAATACAAGTCAATTTTTTGAAAGAATGCTTATCTAATATATTGTCATTGTATCATTAAATAAAGAAAAGAGCTTGGGTTAGTAATATTGACATTGTATATTTATTATTATAAATACCGATTTTTGAACAGAGTCTACCAAGTCGGTCATTTACTATAGGATAAAATAAAAAATGAATAGTATTGAAAGTATTATTAAAATTATTAGAAACAAATATATAGAAGGCCATAAAATTATTATTCAATATAAAGATTCGATAAATAATACTCCTTATATTAGATGTTCTATTTCAGAATTTTTTAGATTGTAGAGCTTCAGATATAATTCAAACACAAAAATCAATCATGAAGGCTTTTCCAAAAGAACATTTATATGCTGCGACAATTAATGATGATTTTCTTTCTTATTATGATAGCAGTGATGAAATTCAATATGCTATGAAAGATGATCATGTAAAAACTGAAAAAGAATTGAATGTTATTACTGGAGATCTGATGATTACTTATAAAATGGATAAAACTGGCAAACTAGATAAAATTGATGCACTTCAAGAGCTAAAGCATGTTACAAGAAATAACTTATTACATGAATTAGAAGCTGATTTTAATTTTTATAATTTAATGATAATAACTTAGATTAATTTGGTCCGATTTTTTCACTTACCTTAGAATTGATTCTAACAATAAAGGATTAACGGACAAGAAACGGTCCATTGAGCTAATGATTTACAGTCGATGCTAACATAAATAAAAAAATTATTATCAAAAGGTTATCGAATTTTATGAATTCAGTACAATTTTTGAATGCAAATTATACTGTGCTATTTTTATTTTAAGATCAAATTAATTTCCTTCACAATCAATTATTCAGCCCCTGTCTCATCATCACTGTTAAATACAGTACTTTATAAATTATAAATGCGACAATTAAGAATCAACAATTTTTGAATTGATATTGTTTATTAAAAAAATTTTACCGCTTGATGATGCCATTTATAAAAAGTAATTAAAGACAATAAATAGACATTTGATTATTCTTGTATTAACTTTTAGAATTATCTAGTGCGTTCTATAAGAATCTGGCCATATGCGAATCTTTTATTCAAATGGTAGACACATGTTGCGGTCCCATGAAATACTGTAATTTATAAATAACATTTTTTTTATTTTCCTGAGTTAGAAATAAGATTTACGTGCTACTTAATATCTTATTCTACATACTGCATATATTTGTATTATTACTTAAATTATAATATATGTATTAAATGTATTATTTAAATTATTGTATTATACTCATCTGTACTCCATTTCCCCGATGTTTAATATCCTTACTTTTATTTAATAGCATAGACATTTTGCATAATCGTTTAAAAGACGATTCTAGAACAATTGGCAAGTGGTTAATTTATTCGTATACTATAGAGAATTCTATTCACGAAGGTTTCTAAACACAAATATTAAAGTTGTTTTCACAATGAACATTGCTGAAACAAAGAAATGGGGTCTTTTGATCGAATGGAATTAATCCCAAATTATAAAATAGTACTCTGTTCGATGTTGAAGAATCAAAAATTTCAAATCACAAAAATATTTTAAAATGATTTCTTTCCCTACCGAGTGTTTTTTAAAAATATTAGCATTCCTTCAAAAAGATCAAGAAAGCCTGTTTTCATGTCTTCTTGTAAATCGCTATTGGTGTAGAATTACTGTGCCAACATTGTGGGAGGAACCTTGTTTTAAAAAGGGAAAGCTTATTAGAAAATTTCTTCAAGAATTAAATACAAATGAACGAAAGCTATTTTTTCAGGATTAAATGCAAATAAACTTAGGTTATTTTTTTCAGTATTAAATGCAAATGAACGAAAGCTATTTCTTTCAGGATTAAATGCAAACAAACGAAAGTTTTTTCTTTTAGAATTTAATGTGCACTTTAAAATTACAATTCCAAGTAATACAAAATCATTATTTGAATACTTAACTTATATTAAAAAAGTTTCTGCTTTTGATCTAGATGATGGAGTCAAGGATTGGCTTAAATATGTGAGATTTAATAATTCTATTGTAAGTTCTTTGATTATAATGTTTACCGGAGTTACAAAATTCTATTAATTATCATATGACGCACCCCATCTATGAAGATCATCATGGGAGAGTATTATAAGGGTTCCCGTGATTTTATGCATGCATAGTAAAAGTAGTAGTATGTGCATAATCATGCATTAAAAATGCATCATCAATTTGTAGTTTGCGTTTGATAAAGTCTTAATAAATAGAACAAAGGGAAGCTTGCTTTGAATAAAATCGATTGCTTGTTAATAAATTAAGTGGTCTTGTGGTCACTAGTCATCAAGTGAGTGGATTTTCTAAGTGGTTTGGACCCAAGACCCCATATTGATATACTGCAAACTACTGTACTATATACAATATGATTATCATTATCTCAATATTTTTCTACTATTTTTCTACCTGGGTCCAATTTTAAATTCTCACTCCTTTTTCATTTGGAACACAAAATTCGCAGAACAAATTTCAGAAACACGTATTGATATTTTGACTTTCAAAGATTTATTAGGAGAGATTACTGCATATAAAAAGGTAAAGCGCTTTTGTTGTTTGCACCTATGGCATTTCACAATATCTTACGATGCATGGGAACTGTTCCACTTATGTGGACCTCTCTTGGTCAATGTTTGGAAGAGAATGTCATGTTTTGCTAGGCAATCTCATTCCAGTATATTGGACTTAATGGATATC